GAAGGGCCGGGGCATGGAGCTCTCTGAGCTGGTGGTTTTCAACGGGAAGCTGTACGCCGTGGACGACCGGACCGGCGTGGTCTACCAGGTTGAGGGCAACAAGGTGGTGCCCTGGGTGATCCTCCCGGATGGGGATGGCACCGTGGGGAAAGGTGAGCTCCTGTCCTGCCCTGTGGATGCAGAGCAGTGATGCTCTTTTCAGCTTGTTGAGGTGGGGTGCACCTTTCCTGTGACCCCTGTGCCTGGCCAGGATGGGGGCAATTCCTGCCCAGGGTCCAGCTGCATGGGGGACACTGTGCCCAGCACTGGCCTCTAGGGTGTGGTGTTCAGGGTGTGGGGCCAGTCTGATGCCCTTGTGCTGGCCAAGCCCCCCTCAAGCTATTCTCTCCACCGCAGGCTTCAAGGCAGAGTGGCTGGCGGTGAAGGATGAGCACCTGTACGTGGGGGGACTGGGCAAGGAGTGGACCACCACGACGGGGGAGGTGGTGAATGAGAACCCCCTATGGGTGAAGGTCATCGGCTACAAGGGCGACGTGAGCCACGAGAACTGGGTGGCAAACTACAATGCCCTGAGGGCTGCAGCAGGGATCCGACCCCCAGGTATGGAGCGGGCGCAACCTCCTGCCACCCCATATCCCACACCCTTGACGGCTCCGGGGCTGGTCACCCTCCCTAGGGATGCTGGGACTGTATTATACTGGGTGAGATTAAAAGGCCATTGGCAGTCAGAGACCTCCCTGTGTCCTGGCACAGAGGCCAGAGCCTTCCCCTGCCCTGGCCATTTCCCCCTCCTGAGTGTGCCACAAGCAGCTGGGGTGGCTCAGCTGACACTGGGTGGCAGCCAGGCCCCTGGGCAGAGTGAGCTGTGCCAGGTGCCCCTGTCGGGCTCTGGAAGGGACTGAGATGTTACTGCTGAGCAGTGGGGCAGGAGGAGGCAGAAATGTTCACAGGGGCTGCCTGTGCAGGGCTGCAACCTGTGAAGTGTTTTGGAGGGGAGGGGGAGGGTCTCGCCCCAGCCCGGCCAGTGCCCGTGTGCCCCATGCGGTCACACTCCACTTCCTGCCGCAGGGTACCTGATCCACGAGTCGGCCTCCTGGAGCGACACGCTGCAGCGCTGGTTCTTCCTGCCGCGCCGCGCCAGCCACGAGCGCTACAGCGAGAGGGCGGACGAGCGGCGAGGCACCAACCTGCTGCTGAGCTCCACCCAGGACTTCGGGGACGTGACAGTGGGGCACGTGGGCGAGGTGGTTCCCACCCATGGCTTCTCCTCCTTCAAGTTCATCCCAGACACAGATGACCAGATCATCGTGGCGCTGAAATCAGAAGAGGACAACGGCAAGATCGCCAGCTACATCATGGCCTTCACGCTGGATGGGCGCTTACTCCTGCCCGAGACCAGGATCGGGAGTGTGAAGTACGAGGGCATCGAGTTTATTTAAAAGACTTTTGGACCGAGTGGAGGGGCGCGGGCGGCCGAGGGGCATGGGCAGTCCCTGCCAACCTGCTTCCAGCCTGGGCTCTGCGAGGGATGCCGGACAGCACTCCCAGCTCTGTTCTTGGCCGTGGCCTCTCCCGTAAAGCATTGGCTGTGCTGCAGCAGGCATGGTGCGAGTGTTTCGACAGTGGCACCTGGTGGCAAGGGACCGCCACCACAGGGTGCTCCCGGCCCCGGTGGCAGTGACCACATCCCGGAGCATCGGTTTCCGGGCAGGCCCCGCTGCAGTCCTTAGTGCCCAGCCCCGAATTGCGACAGACCCCTCTGTGGTGGGTCAGCGATTCTGGTGACATCCGGTCTCTGGGTTTGCAGCTGAGCCCCAGCTCTGCAGCTCTGCCTCATGTGCCGCGGGGCTCCCCAGGCAGAGGAAGGGGTGTGCAGCTGAAGCGAGTCAGACCCAGATTTCATCAGGCTTTTTCCCCAGAAGCTGGTTTTCCTTCCCTTTTCCCATAAGCTGGGTGAGGTGATGGCTGGGGTGACAGGTGGCCTGTTTCTGGGAAAAGTCATACGTAGGAAGGGACAGTGGCTGTGTCCCTCTGCCTCTGTCACCATGGAGGGTGCAGCAGTTCCAGCACCACTGGTAGCACTGGTTCCACCACCACTCCTGGTGCTGTGGTACTGGCACAGTGGCCCTGCCTGTGGGGCAGGGGCAACAGGTAGTCTCAAGCAACTGATGGGGCCACCAGCCATGGCCAGTGTAACGTGGGCCCATTCTAGTGCCATTCCCAGCCCACCTCCTGTGAGCCATGTGTGTGCTGGCTGTGTCTCTTCTCCCAGCCCTGGCTGCACATGGCTCCAGCCCCAGAGCTGTCAGCTCCAGGAAGAGCTGAGCCCTGGACAGGAGCTGCTGGAAGCTGGCGGTGGCATGCATGGCCCTGCTGTCCAAGGGCTGCTGTGCTCAGTGCAGGAGCAGAGCCAGAAGCGCCAGCTCAGCTTCCCAGGGCTGACAGCAGCTGGGAAGCATTCGTAGCAGCCCGAGGCTTTGGCCAGGGAGCCTTCCCCAGCATATTGTGAAATCACATCCGCAGCCTGTGGCCTCTGGCAGGAACTTGCGCAGTTTCAGGAGCCAGAAGTGTCAAAGGGGCATCTGCTGGCCCCAGGGCCCTTCTGACCCCTCTGACCTTGGGGGATGTGGCCTGTGGCCTGCCCACGCTCCCCGGCTCAGCCCTGCCCTGCTCCAGGTCACAGGGCAGCACATCCTCACGCCAGGGCCAGTGTTTGGTTGCATGCTTTTCCTGGTTTGGTCCCCCTTAACACCCTGCCCCTGGAGCAGCTCTGCCAGCAGGCAAGCCTTCAGCGAGCTGGGCCTGCCTACTGTGGTTTGGGGGGGCCTTGGGCCCACCATGCCCCCTTGTTGTGCCCTGGCACTGTCCTGCTGGGGGTCCAGCAGTCCTCAGGGAGGGAGGGGGCCTGTTGGTACAGTGACCAAGCTGTAGTTGGGTGGAAGGACCTGCAGAGGACAGAGCCCTCCCAAGAGCCCAGACAGGCTCTCTCCGCCTCATCCCTGTTTACGCTGTCGGCACCTTCTCGAGCCGTGCGGGGCGCGGACGAGGCCAGACACGTGTTTTCGTTTAGCCCAGACAATGACTCAGCCGGCGCTGGGCTGCGAGCAGATGCGCTTGTCTCCTCTGGACATGGACCTGTCCCCAGTGCCGCGGGCAGACCTGGCTTCAGCCCCTGCATGTGGCCTCGGGGCCATGCAGCTCCCAGCCCAGGGCATCCAGGGTGCGTTCCCGGCCCATGCTGGTGCCAGCTGGCCCTGGGCCACTATGGCCACTCAGCCATTGCCTGCACTTCACTTGGCACAGCCTCTCCTGGCCTTACTCACCCTCCTGACTCAGGGCCAACAGCTCCATAGCACCTGTCACGGCCCCAGGGCTGTGCCAGTGACTGTGCTGGTGGCTATCCGTGCCACATGACCCCTTCTTGTCCCCTGGGGTGAAGCATCCCTGGGCCCCAGACCTCAGCCCTGTGGTACCCTTGGAGCAACAGCACCGGTGCCTTGGGCAGCCAGGCTGGCAGGAATCCTGCTGCTGCTGGAGTCTCTGTAGACCATGAGTGCTGCAGTAGAGCTGGGGACCTGAAGCCCCATCTCCAGGTGCCATCAGCATCCTGGCACTGTCAGTACTGTCACCTCCCACATGTTTCCTGAAGCCTCAGGCAGGGATTGGACAAGGTCTGGGTGCCCACAGTTCCACTGTTTCTTCTTGTCCCAGAGTCCAAGCAGGTCCAACACCTCCTTCCACCATGAGCAGCTGTGGGAGTGCCATGGCAAGAGGCTGTCTTGGGAGCAGCTGTTGTAGCCACAGTGGCAACTATCCCTGCTAACATGTGCCCATGACACCTGGCCTGGCTGTGCTTGGAAGCTGTGTCTCTGCCCAGAGGCAGAGCCAGACTCCCTGCCCGCTCCGCTGGGACAGAGGCACCGTAGGGGAGATGGAGCACAGCTGCCCGGGCACGGGGTGCAGGTCCAGTGACAGCAGCAGCGCCCCGACACCTCCACGGTGACACAGCATGGAGGTTTTGATGGGGATAGAGTCTTGTCTTTACATATTAGGTGCTGTGGGCATTGGTGTTTGGGATTGGTGCTGGGAAAAGTGTTGGTAACAGACATATTTTTATTACGGCTGAGGAGCGCTTGTGCAGCTCGAGGCCTTTTCTGCTCCTCATCCCACCAGTGAGGGGCAGTGGGGACACAAGGCTTTGGGAAGGGACACAGCCAGGACAGTGACCCCAGCTGACCCAAGGGATATTCCATACTGTATGGCGTCATGCTCAGCATATAGAGCTGGAGGAGGGGGGGGACATTAGGAGTTATGGCCATTTGTCTCTCCCAAGTCACCATCACACGTGCTGGAGCCCAGCTGTCCTGGGGATGGCTGAGCACTTGCCTGCCATGGGATAGGGGTGAAGGAATTCCTTGGTTTGCTTTGCTTGTGTGTGGCTTTTGCATCACCTGTAAAACTGCCTTTACCTCAGCCCAGGAGTTTTCTCACTTTCACCCTCTCCATTCTCTCCCCACCCCACTGGGGGGAGTGAAGCTGTAGGGGCTCAGCTGCCCACTGGGGTTAAACCCCAACACACAGCCAGGACAGGGACAAGGTGGATTTTTGGAGTTGTGCTAGAGGGCAGGAGCTGCTGCCCAGGGGGAGAGGCCTGAGGCCTCGGGAAGGTCGCTGTGGTGCAGGACCTCCGGTCGGAGTGGGAAGTGGGCAAGGGGACTCGGGGGTAGGACAAGCTGGGCTGGAGGGGCTGAAGTGGGGAGAAACGCTCGGGCACGACCAGAACCCGTAGCCTGCGCGGAGATCCAGTGCTCCTCTCGGCGCGGGCAGCTCCGGAGCGGGGGCGGCGGGTCCGTGGGTGGTGGGGCCGGGAGTGACGGGGCCGGGGGCGGACGGGTTGCTCTGGGGCGGGGGCGGCCGGTGCCCGCGGCGGGGGCCGTGCCGGGGCGGGGGCGGCGGTCGCGGCGGAGCCGCATCCCGCGGAGGGCGGGCGCAGCCGGGCTGGCCCCGCGCCACGCGGAGGAGGAGCAGCAGATCCCCGGAGCACGTTAAAGAGCGAGGCCGAGCGCGGCGGGGAGGAAGCGAACGGCTCCGTGGAGGCAACGGAGCGGCGGCCGCAGAGCGCCCGCCCCGGCCGGACCCAAGTTCCCGGCGGCGGCTCGGCCGGGCCCGGCGGTGGGTGCGGGATCGGGGCCGGTGGCCGAGCCCGCAGCCCCGCACCATGCCCGCCGCGCTGCCCAGCCTGCTGGCCTGGCTGGCGGTGCTGCTGCTAGGCAGGGCCCGCCCGGCCGACGCCTGCAGCTGCTCGCCCATCCACCCGCAGCAGGCCTTCTGCAACGCCGACGTAGGTGAGCGCCGCGGGGACCCCCGGCCCGAGCCCCGCCCGGCCCGGCCCGCGCCAACTTCCCAGCGGGGGAAGGGGCGGAAAGTTGGCGCGGGGCGGGCGGGGAGGGGGCAGAGCCCCCCGACTCCCGGCACCTGCCCGCAGCCCCGGCCCGGCCCGGGGGTGTGTCGGCGGGCGCGGATGCGCGGCCGGGCGCGGTCCCTCCGTCCGGGCTGTGCCCGACCCTCCCCGCGCCTCCCGCCGTCTCGGGGGGACCCCCGCGCCCGCCATCCCTCCAGGGGGCGGCCGGAGCGCGGCTCCGCCGAGGCCGGTCCCCACTGGCCGCCTCCCCGGTGAGTGACACGGGTGGGCCCGGCCTCCCCCGACTCTGATGACACCGCGGAGGTACGTGGCAGCGCGGGGCTGGGGCCTGGGGGCGGCTGGGGCCCTCCAAGCATGGCCACGGCACGGGCCCAGAGCCCGGAGGAGCCCCCGGCCCCGGGAGCCACCGCCACGGGCTTGGTCACCCCCGTCTACTCCTTATTTCCAGGCATTTCCTTTCCCCCGTCCCACTTTGTTCGGCTTGGATGCTGCTGAAAGGGAGGGCTTGGCAGCGCCGGGATCTGGATTCCTCTTTCTATGAATAATGCCCTTATTAAATTTTAACATATGAACCGAACAGGCCGGCCCCAGTTCCCGGCGCTTCCCTTCCCGGGGCCGTTCCCAGGCTCAGCTGGAGAGGTAACATTCCCAAACACTGAGGCAGCCCCAACCTCTGGATGGCCCTGCCCTCTCCCTTGCTCCAGAGCCAGGATGCTCCTGACAGATTCCCAGGCTTCCCTTGCGCCTTCCAGAACCCACTCCTAGCCTTTCTCCTCTGCGAGGGCAACTCCTGCAGCACTTGGCTGCTGCTCCACATGCCCGGCTCTGCCCAGCCTCACAGTGAGGCACGTTGGGGACAGGGAGGATTTGAGACAAAATGGAGCACTGGATATTTGGAGGTGCTTCTGGAGGTGTCCCTGGCCCGCAGGATGCCCTGTGCCCCCTCTGGCAGCGCGGCTGTGGCTTCCCATCACACTCCTGTCAGGATCAGCTTTCGGGGCACTTGTGACTCACTGCCTGTCGTGGGGTGCCGGCTCAGCCCTGACTCAGCTGCTGAGTCACCGTCTGTCTTGGCGGCCCCAGCTGTCTCCACCGTCCCCTGGGAGGGCACAGCCTGGCTGGGCTTTGGTCTCCTGCTGCCCCACTACCCTCAGCAGGTGCCTGTCCTGCGAGTGCCCAGAGCCCATCCTGCCAGGGCAGCCTCCTCCCGTCTGTGCTGCCACCAGCACTGGCACCTTCTGGCTCCCAGCCCAGGTGCCCTGTGCTGCTCGTATGTCAGTTGTGCCTTGTGTGGGTCCGAGTGGGGACAGTGCTGGTTTTGGGGATGGAGCAGGGCGTGTCCTGGGATGATCCTGTGATCCCCGGCCTTTTGCTGCTTCTCATCTTCCCCCTGGATGCTCTCTGGAGCTGGGATGCTCCTCAGACAGCTCCATCCCTGCAGGTGTGCAGAGCCCAGGGAGAGTGTGGGGCCCTTGGTGCTGCCAGGACCCTTCCCAGCTGCTGTGGCTGGAGGGGCCCATGTCCAGGCTGGGTCCTTGACAGAGATGTGGTGGTGTGGGAATGGCTGATGTCCTGTGGTGCTGGGTGGGTGCACCCGAGGTGGCCAGTGGGCCCCAAGGCTCACACTCAGCCCTCAGTAGAGGTGATCAGGGTGAGTGCATTGTGGGGTCTTGGCCCTGGAGGCTGGCACCCCTGTTCCATAGCATGGGGAGCACCTGCCATATCCCTCTGTGCCTCCCCATGGCCCCTTTGCTCTTGCACCTCCTCTGCAATCGCTCTGCCCTGGAACAGGGCTGGAGCAGCTGCAGCCCAGGGCTGCACTTCCAGGCAGTGCAGGGGAAGGCCCATGCAACTCTGCGTTGGACATGGGGTGCCTGAGGGACTGGGGGTCATGGAGAGGCTTGGGTGTTGTGTCACTGGAGCTGGTGACTTGGAACAAGTGATCTGCCAGCCTACACTTGCACATCCTGGCCAGTGAGATGTGCAGGGGGTTTCTGCAGGGCCCGAGGGCTTGGGGCTGCCCTGTCCACCGTCCCTCACTGGAGCCATGCCTGGGCAGTGGGGACTGGAGGTGCTCTGGCAGGGCCAGAGATGCTCGGCTGCCTGGTGGGGCCACAACCAGGCCAGGGGCCACAGCAGGAAACCTGGCTTCTGCTCAGTCCCTTCTGGAGCAGCGTGGGGATGTGGAGCGTGAGGGGGGTGATGCTCAGCCCTTTTGGGCACGGCCGTGGCTTTGGCCCTGTGTGGCAGCACCACTCCCGGAGGGGCCGATGGGGTGGGGGAGAGCAGGAACTCGGTGCCGCCTGGGGCGGGGGCACCTGGGCTGTGGCCCTTGGCAGTATTGTGCCGATTCCAGTCATCCCAGTGTGTGGGGGCTGCCAGCAGCCAGTAAGGACCGCGCAGAGGGGGAGGTTTGGTGGGAGTGGTGAGAGCCGTCCGTGCCGGGGAGGTGCGGCTGCCTGCCGAGCCTGGCGGGGCCCGGCATTGCCGGTGCCCGGTGCCGCCCCGGCGGGCGCGGCGGCCGGAGCCCTCCCGTGCGGAGGGGCCGTGGGCAGGCGCGGGGGCCGCGCTGAGTGGGCTCCCTGCGCTCCGTCACGGCCGGGATGACGCACGGCCATGGCAGACCCGCGGCTCCCGCAGCCCCACGGGCAGCGGGGAGCCCCCGCGGCCTCCGCTGCCTCCCCGCTGCGGGACCGCCCTGCTCAGCCCCGCACCTCCAGCCTCAGCATCTCTAAGCCGCTGGGCCGGGGCGGGGGCGAACATTCCGCCGCCCCTGCGGCTGCTGGGGTGCGGGCAAGCACTTGTGGGGTGGTTGTTGCTCGTGTGCCAGGCAGAGCTGGGATGCAGGAGTCCCTGCCGGGGTGATTTGCCGGCTCTGCAGCTCTGCTGGGCTCAAGCGGGGCTGGAATGACCCCGGGGCTGCCTTCACTACGGAGACGGGTGCCTGGGCTGGCAGTGCCGGGTGGGCAACGGACAGTGCTGGCACTGGCAGCCGGCCCTTCTGCTCCGATGCTGCCAGCAGCCCAGGAGAAGGGAGCTTTGTTCCCTGGGCATCCAGCCTGGCACCAGCTTCCTGGATGCAGCCTCCACAGTCCACGGCCACTGGTGCTTCCTGGGCAGCTGTGGGCAGGTGTGGGCAGGGTGGCTTGGAGGGGTTTGGGGTGGGATGGTGGAGGAAGGGGCAGCCAGTCAGGACACCCTAGGCTGGGAGGAGGGGGCCTGGGGGTAAAGGTCCTTTGTGCTGCTTTTCTGCCCATGGGGAACAGGTGGGCACAGCAGTGTCCTGAGCTGGGGCACCCTATGTGGAGCCAGGGTGGATAAACCTCACAACTGGCAAGTCCAGAAAGACATCCTGGTGGGTTTGTGGCACTGAGTGACTGTGTGTCCCCAGCTTTGCTTCTGGAGCTGGTGGCTGCCCAGGATGGCAGCAGAAGGGGTGGGTGACATGGCCAGTGGGGGCACTGGCATTTGGGGAAGTCTAACTGCTGGTCCCTATGCACCAGGGGTTTCCTCCATCCCTCAGCCAGTCTCCTTGTCCCAGGCTCTCCTCAGGGCTCTCTCCACCATCCCTGTGGCTGCCCTCCCCACCACCCTGGTTCCTGGCGGGCGCGGAGCAGCTTGGCTGCGCCGTGGGGTCTTGGCGGGGAAAGCACAGCGCGGCCGTCCCCTCCACAAAGCTGCACTGTTCAGAACAAATCCACCCAGAATTGGGCTGCATTTTTGTCAAGTGATTCATCAGCACGTGAATGGAAAAGGCTGGAGCCCACTGAACCAGTAACCATTCCCCACACAGGAGCCATGGGGCCAGCACTGGTTGCACCCAAGTTAAGCCACCAACACACAGGGCCTGGCACACGTGGGGACACAGCGGCCGCAGGGCTGAGGGGCAAGGGGTGGCCCGTGCCTGCAGTGGCCCCAGCATGCTGCTGACAGAGGAGTGGGCGCTGTCTTCAGGCACAGCTGAGATGCTGCCAGTGTGCCTGGACAGCCCAGCCCTTCCCAAGGGATGGGAGCATGGCTGGGAAAGCTTCCAGTGCATCCCTGGTACCAGCAGCCATTGCATGCCCCAGCCCTGCACAGAGCGAGTGCCCCCCTTGACCAGGGACAGCTCTTTCAGGAAGCCTCTTCCCTGGTCCCTGCTCACGCTGGTGCCACCCTCACCTTTCCAGAGTAAGCTCTGTTGGTGCTTGCTGGTACCCACGTGTGGCTGTGCCCCTCTGACCTTCAGCTGAAATAGCCCATCCACGTGCCCCCATGCCCAGCAACATTTATAGACCGCGGTCAGATTCCCTCCTGGCCATGCCAGGTGGGAGAAGCTCCTCTATGCCAAGCTGTGGGTGACCCCCACACATCCCTGACCGCTCCCAGCCCAGCACATTTTTGGTGGGGACTTGAGCCGGGATGAACTTTGTGAGAGTGCCCAGCTCTCTGTCCCCCACCCCACAGTGCATACACAAGGTTGGCAGGGCACCAGGGAGCCCTGCAGGAAAGGGGGTTGGCCTTCCCATGGGATGGAGGTACCCTGGCAGAGTGGGGAGTCCTACCAGCCCATCTCCTGCAACCAGGCCTCCTCCCTACTCAGAGTGCTAAGCAGGAGCTGCAGCTTTGGGGCTGCCACTGTCCTCTGCACTGTCAGCATCCCCAGTGCTGCCTGGGAATTCCAGTCCCCACACCAGTGGAGGGAGCCAGGCAGGGCTGGGAGCTGCAGGTCTCAGCAGGGGGACCCAGGCAATCCACACAGCACAGCACCAAGCCAGCTCCATGTCCCAGCTGGTGAGTAAGGGTGAGCTGGCTGCCCGCCCTGCCCAGCACCCTGTGGGTCACTGCCACGTGCTGAGCACTCACATGCCGGATCGTGTATCCTGGGCTGTGCTGGCAGCGTGACCTCAGGGACCCTGCCATGGCAGAGCTATCCCCAGGCTCAGGGTGCTGCACCTCTCTGGCCCTGGGGCTCCTAACCTTGTCCCTCAGCACCCAGCGCTGGGACCGCCTCAGGGCCACCAGTGCTGGGAGGGCTGTTGCCTTTGGCCAGGCTGCTTGGGGCTGCTGGCTGGGCCCTCACTGCCTCCTCCCGCTGCCATGGCTCTTGCTGTCCCAGATTGTTTTTCAGGCAGCAGGGGCAGGAAGCAACACCCGCGGCCCCAGTCCTGGGAGGATGTGGGTTCTGCGCCTGCACAGCACAGTGCTCCACGTGAGGCAGGAACCATCAGCTGGAGCATCGCCCTGGGGCAGCTGGGACCCCACTGTGGTGGGACAGGGATCCTGTGCTCCAGGGTGCAAGGGCAGCCTTGTCGTGGGACCCTTGCTCTCCCAGCATCGGGTGCAGAGAGGCTAGCAAGGGTCTGGTGAGGCTGGGGACCCCAGCCAAAGGTGCTGGCGTTTGGTGGGCAGCGCAGGTGCCCACACTGGCCTTGGCGAGCAGCTGGGATCGTGCCACGGGGACGTGGCTCTGCCACCCTCTGTAAGGTGATTCTTTCCCAAAGATGATTGTCCAAATCGCTCCCTCTGCCCTTCCCTCCTCTGGCCTGGCCAGGCCACTCGGGCACCTGGATGGGGCCCTTGTCAAAGACTGGTTTAATTAATGACAGTGGGACAAACACCATGGTGCAGGCAGGTTTTAACTCTCTGTGCCATCTGAGTGATGGGCACAACTCCAGGCAGGGCCAGCCTGCACCCAGGAATCCATCAGAGACTGAGCCAGCGCTGGCGAAGGGTGAACGCTCTGGCACAGGTGGTGGCAGCAGGGCCGGGCAATCCTGGGATGACCTTTCCTTTTCACCCTGTTGCAATGCTGCCAGTCACCATCATGCACGTGCCAGAGCCCCATTCCTTTAGGGACAGCAGAGGACAGTTGGCTCTGTGGGCAGCTGAGCATCTGTGGGGAGGGCAGTGGGGTCTGCTGTGGGCAGTAGCCCCTTATGGGTGTGGGAATCACTGTGGGATGCAGGGGCTGAGTGGGACTGGTCACCTTCACTTACCTCACCTTTCCCTTGCAGTGATCCGAGCCAAGGCCGTCTCTGCAAAAGAGGTGGATTCGGGGAATGATATATACGGGAATCCGATCAAACGCATCCAGTATGAAATCAAGCAGATCAAGGTAACAGGGCACATCAGGGCAGGAGGCTGAGGGGGATGGGGTACCCCTGCACCAGCCACTCACTCGTGCCTCTGCTCCCCAGATGTTCAAGGGCCCCGACCAGGACATAGAGTTCATCTACACGGCTCCGTCGACTGCCGTGTGCGGCCGGCTGCTGGACACCGGCGGGAAGAAGGAGTATCTCATCGCAGGTGGGCACTGGAGGGGAAGGTGCTCGAGGGGTGCCAGGACAGTGCTGACCCTGCTGCCTCACCGACCCCTGGAGACACCTGATGTGTGTGCCTGCTCCCTGGGCATGTTCCCCCCCGTCCCTCAAGCTCTTACCACCAGCCCTTGGGGGACCCCCCAGCTGTGTTCTGGCTACACTTGGCAGCCCTGGCTGTGGTGGAGGCAGCTGGGGGATGAGCCTCTGCTCCCTGGGGGGTCACCAGAGACAGTGCACAGTGAGGGGACCCAGGCACCTCGAGTCAGTTTGGGGTCCTGGGGCACTGGGGGGGACCCCCTGAGTGGTCTGTCTGGCCTCTCCCCAGGCAAGTCGGAGGGCAATGGCAAGATGCACATCACACTCTGCGACTTGGTCTCCACTTGGGACTCGCTGACCCCAACCCAGAAGAAGAGCCTAAACCAGCGGTACCAGATGGGCTGCGAGTGCAAGGTGAGTGACCAGGCTGTCCCCCAAACACCCCACACCAGAGGGATCTGCAGCCCCCAGGGAGGGGTGGGTTCCGTGGGGAGACGCTCTTCCCTGTCCTTCAAGGATGAAGTTGTGCAGAGACAGCATGGCCAGGCAGACAGGAAGGGTGGCTGAGCCTCTGGCTCCCTCTGGCTGGGAACTGAGGCCAGCCCTGGGACCAGCACCCAGGGGTTCCCTCAGTCCCCCTGCATCTGGGTCATGTCCCCAGCATGCCTCACAGTGCAGAGTCAGCCTGGAATCTGTGTTAAGAGATGGGGGAGTGGATGAAGCAGAGCTGTGCAGGACCCCCAACCCAACTGCCCCACACTGCTTCCTCCCAGCCCAGTTTCCCCCGCCGGGGTGATGGGTGACAGTCTCTGTCGTGCACAGATCTCGCGCTGCCTCTCCATCCCCTGCTTCGTCTCCTCCTCGGACGAGTGTCTTTGGACAGACTGGGCGATGGAGAAGAACAACGTGGATGGGCGGCAGGCGAAGCACTATGCCTGCATCAAGAGGAGCGACGGCTCGTGTGCCTGGTACCGCGGCATGGCCCCCCCCAAGCAAGAGTTTCTCGACATTGAGGACCCCTAAGCCAAACGAGCGCATTCCAGTAGCCAGTAGAAAAAACCTGCGAGATGTTAGACTGGTCCATGCTGATATCAAATCCTGGAGACAGCATGAAAATCTGCTCGGCCGCGGGGGTCACCGGAGGCTGCCATGTGCATGCGGGGGGCAGGGACCGGGACCCACTTCGTCGCAGGCACCTGGCAGCCCACGGCCACACTGGGCAACTTGGGCTTGTGCAGGGCCGAGCAGGGTGTGGGGACTGCCCTGCCAGGGTCATGACTCCCCGGCCATGCTTGGCCCTGCCCTGGCAGCTGTGAAGGAATCGAGCCCTTTTGAGTGGCGGGAGCTGCCCCAGCTGCGTAGCAGGTCTACCAGTGCCCGCCGTGGGAGCCGCCCCCCGCAGCTCTGGCCAGGCAGCCCTGCCCACCGCAGTGCCCAGAGACCCCCGTCCCCTCCCCACCCACTGCCCATCCCCTCCCCCCGGGGTGTAGGAAGGGTACCTCTCTGGGCAGGGGCTCCAGAGGGCTTTACCATGTGGCAGAGCCCCCAGCTGAGTGCAAGGGGCTCCGGGCCTTTCACAGGGCCAGAGGACTCCTGTGCAGGTGCCTTGTCTGAAAAAGCTGGAAGGGCACGCTAGCATGTCAGGGGTGACCCCCACATGCACCTGGGCACTGCTGCTCCTCTCTCCACATGTTCCTCTCTCCAGTGGGCTCCATTCCCCTGCAACCTCCTGCAGATCCTTCTGCAGCTGCCACCGCTGGAGAGGTTGAGACCCACTGGGCTTGGCAGGAAACCCTTGGCAGAGCACCCAGGAGCCAGAGCTCTGGCTGCGCAGGCATGGGGTGTCCATCCTTGCCTCGTGCAGCTTTGGGCTGTGCTGTGGCCCTCAGCACCACTGCAGCCAGGAGAGCTCCCTCCTCCATGGTGTCGGGGATGGAGCCTGGAACCGGCGGCAGGGCAGCTGCAGGAAAACCTGTCCCCTCCAGTGAACCCCCTGCACTCCTCGGCCCCACATTCTCTGAGCCATCCCCACGCTGCAGCGGTGCTGGCGTGTGCCGCAGAGCTGCCCCACTGCGACGCCCGTGGCACTGGCACGTGCACCCACGGCTTTGGGAGCGTGCCAGGAATGCTCCCCGCGGCCCTGCATCGGGGGCATTTTCATGCTGTGTGTCCCTGTAAGGTTTGAGATGTCGTACTGGACCAGTCTGGGCAATTGCAACATATTAAAGAGAAAAATTAAAAAGAAAGAAAAAGAAAAAATACCCCCACCCAACCTTTACTCAGTCCCGACCGCGCATCCCAGGCGCTCTGTATGGCTGTACCCGCTGTGCTCCTGTCGCTGCTGCTCCTCTGTCTTTGACTTCAATATCGCCAGTTGTTTTGCCGCCGGCTCTGTGGTCCCTGTGCCGTGATTTCCGTCTCCTCATCCGGCGCTGGAGCCGCCCCGGTATCGGCGGGGGGGTCCGTGCCGGGAGCTCCCGGGGAGGGGAGACGATGGGCGGGGGCCCTGCGGCGGCTCGGCCAGGACCCCCCCGGCTCCGCCACCCCTCCGGATCCAACCGAACACCCCCGGGCCACCCGGTCCTCCTCAGCCGCGGAGAGGAGGGATCCACGCGGGGCTGCCGGAGGGCAAGGAACGAGAAGGCGAGGGGAAGAGCTGCTGCAGGGCCACCTTCAGATACCGGCGGCAGCGCTGAGCGCGGGGTCCGACGAGGTCGGGATGGGGACCGGGACCGGTGCCGGAGGGGGTCGGGGCTGGGGCTGAAAGGGGGCGCGGTCTGTGCCGGAGGGGGCGGGCCCGGGGTGTGACGGGGCGGGGCCGCGCTCAGAGCCCCGCGTCCGGTCCCGCGTGGGGCGGTCCCGCGTGGCACCGCCCGCCGTGCGGCCGCGGCCCGGGACTCGCAGCGGGCGGAGCTCATCTCTCCGTTGGCTGTTCCGAGCGAGCGGGCGGAGCGTGCCCGGCCCTGGGCTGTGCCGAGCAGGCGCCGCGGCCGCGCAGAGGCGGAGCGGGGCCGCCCCGCGGGGCCGGCGCGGAAGGAGTTTGTGCCGGCGGCGGGCGAGAGGCGTTGCGGTGACACGTGCGTGCGGCGGGACCCGGATGGTGAGCGCTGCCGGGGTCGGGCGGGACGGCCCGGGGGGCGCCGGGGTCTGCGCTTGGCTCCCGCCGCGCTGCCCTGCCCTGCCGGCGGGGCCGGGCGGGTCGCACATGGCGGCGCTCGGGGCCGGGGCGGGCGGGGACCGTCCGAGGGGACCGGGACGGGCGGCGGCGGGTCCGGGCCGCGACCAGTGGCCCTGAGAGCCGGAGCGGGGCGGGAGGGGCCCTCCGTTCAGCCGCCCCCTCTCTCCTCCGCAGCCGCGGCCGCTGGGCCCGCCGAGCCGGCCGCCCACGGCGATGATCGCGGAGAAGCTGCGGGAGGCGCTGGAGCCGGTGCGGCGGGAGGCGGCGGCGGAGCTGGGCCGGCCGCTGGCCGCCGCCGCCCGCTCCGTGCTGCAGCAGCGCATCGAGTTCGCGCCCGCCCGGCGCGGCCTGGCCGGGCAGCTGGAGCACCTGCGGGACAAGTACGAGCACATCGGGGTCGAGGCCCTTGGCCGCCCCCTCGGCGTGGCCGGCAGCCCTCCGGAGCGGCCGCAGAACCCCCAGGGTGAGTGGAGGGGGCGAGGGGACACCCGCGTGCTCCCGTGCCCCGCTCCCCCTCCGACCCCCGGGCTGACCGCCCGCTCCCCACAGGCGGCAGACAAGCCTCCCCGAGGGCCGTGAGTGACGGGATCCCCACGCCCCAGAAGGTGCTCTTCCCAGCCCAGCGCCTCTCCATGAAGTGGGAGCGTGTCCACCGTGTGGGCGCCGGGCTGAGTAATCTGGGGAACACCTGCTTCCTAAACTCGGCGCTGCAGTGCCTGACCTACACGCCACCACTCACCAACTACCTGCTCTCCCGGGAGCACGGACGCACCTGTGAGTGGGGACCCCAGTTCAGGGGGCCGGGAGGGAGGAGCAGCGTCTGCTGGTCCCGCTCGCAGTGCTGTGCTCAGCACCTCTGTGCCTGGCTCTGGTGAGGGGGTGTGGGCGTCGGGTTGCACCTTCCCTGCTCCCTTCTGCCTGTTTCTCCATCAAGAGGCTGTTCCCGGGTCCAACTCACGTCCTGGTCATAGCAGTGTTCCCAAGCTCAGCATCTCAGATCATCATCTGGGGAGACTTTCTCTCTGCTGGGTGTAGCCAGGACTAAGATAGGCCCAATGGACCTGCTGGCTTCTCCGGGGCTGAGCTGAGGGGTCCCAAGTAGCTCCTGCCTGTGGGGACTGCATGAGGGCAGTGTGGCAGGCCCTGCTCCAAGCTGTCACCATGGGGAACACAAAGGGCTTGCAGCCCCGTCTGTAGGACTCCGGTGGGATCTACCCCTCAGAGCCGACCTGTGGGCTCATCCAGTGAGTACCTGGGACCTATTTTCCATCCATGTGGATGCTGTCTTGCCAGGGGGGCTGCCATGGCTGGTCCTGTGATGGGCTCTGCCAGTTGGTGTGGCGTGTGCTGGTTCTCACGTCCCTGGGATGCCCCAGAGCTGTTCTGGAGCACAGAGCTCATAGGGAAAACTGAGCGTGGCTGTGCTGTGTTGGATCAGCGATCTCCTGTGCTGCCTCCGTCTCTCCCGGGTTTGCCCCAACATCTCATCATCTCTCCTGCTCCAGGTGCCCATGGAAGCTTCTGCATGATGTGCACTATGCAGAACCACACGATCCAGGCTTTTGCCAACAGCGGCAATGCGATAAAGCCACTGTCCATCATCCGAGACCTCAAGAGTAAGGATGGCTGCCCTTCCCCCCATGACTAATGTGGAAGGAGAACCATTGGGATTGGGGCACATTTTGCCAGATGGCTCCACTGAAACAACTCGGAGCCTGCCAGGGGGCTGCCTGGGACTTGTCCTGTGGCTGGCATAAGTCTGATGTCTGGTTTGGGTTGAGGGGGCTTGAACCGCAGAGTTCCTGCCCCAGGGAGGCAGGGATGGCCAGCATCTGTTGCAGCACGTGCTAATTCCTCCCTCTCTTGCAGAGATTTCCCATAATTTGCACTTTGGCAGGCAGGAGGATGCACATGAGTTCCTGCGTTATACCATTGATGCCATGCAGAAGGCCTGCCTGAATGGCTACACCAAGTATGTGGGGCCTGAAGGCTCTTTGATGTCCCCTCACAGGTCCCCTGTGCTCATGGGAGGGGACCGTGGGGTGAACGCGTCCCCCAGGTTGGCCTTCTTGTGGGGAGGTCATGACTTCAGGGGCCTCATGTGTGGGGTCTAGCTCCCTGCCCCTCCGGGATGTGGCTCTGGGTTGTTGTTTGCCTTCTCCTGACTCCTTCACCCCAGCACAGCTGCAGTCCTGTCCCAAAATCCTGAGACTGCTATGGGGTGGGATCCCATCCCAATTGCCAAGGGATCCAGGCATGCTTGCTAGTTCAGCCCCAGTTCTGTGACTGTGGGAGTGCAGCTTCCCCGAGGCCCTCTATCCCAGGAAGCACTGCCTTTGCAGCACCCAGCTCTGAGCTTCAGCCAGGAGCCTCTGCTCCTTTGAGAGGAGGGTACATGTTGGAGCCTGGTGCCATCCCTTGGCTGTGACACAGGGAGAGCAGGCTGGCAGGGGCTGTGATTTTCTGCTGCTCCTAGAGCTCCACAGCCCAGCCACTGCCCAGAGTATGGAGTGGGGCTGTCCTGATGACACGGGGGTCCCGCAGGGGTGGCTGTTGCAGAGGGGTGGTGTGCGATCTGGTGCCGCTGTCTCTGTGTAGGTTGGATCGCCAGACCCAGGCCACGACCCTGGTTCACCAGATCTTTGGCGGTTACCTGCGGTCCCGTGGTGAGTGCCAGCTGCCAGGGCCAGGGTTTGGGCAGTAGAACTCTTTGGGAAAATGACTAAGCATGTGTAATTTATCCAGAGCCACAGTCAGTCAGTCCTGCGGTACCTGAGGGTTGTGAGCCCAGTTGTGGTGATGGGAAAAGCTGCTGACTTTGTGCCACCAGCAAAGGGACCCATCTTCCCAGCTATCCAGCGACACTCGCTGTCCTAGCACAAAGTGGAATCACCAGCCTTTCTCTCTCCCAGGCTATGAATCCTGGTGTTCATATCCCAGAGCCCAAACCCAGACTGGAGGGACACTGCAGCTGCCCGTGCTGTGCTGTGGGGGTGGCAGGTGCAGGTGTTGTGTTGAGGTGTGCTCATGGCTCTTCCTTTTGCAGTGAAATGCTTGGAGTGCAAGACTGTCTCGGACACCTATGACCCTTACCTGGATGTGACACTGGAGATCGAGGTAGTGGGGCAGGGTTAGGGTTGGGGGGCTCTGTCCTCGGGAGGATGTTCCTGCTCTGAGGCTCTTTAACCTGCCAGCATGCAGGAATGGTGCCGGCAGGAGGGAAGCAGCTCCCACTGTTCCGCTGCCATCTCAGTCTGGCAGAGCAGTGCCCACTGTCTGAGCATGAGCCACGACTCCTTTGCAGAGGCTTGGGGGTGTTGGGGTGCAGAGCAGCCACCCCCATGGTGTGCTGGGGGCAGGCTCAAGGATTTGGGGCAGCCCGTGGCCCTGTGCTGTGTGCTCTCTCCTGGACCCAGCGCCGCAGCACAGAGCACAGCTGTGGCCTGAACAGGCCCCTCGTGCCCTGACTTCCACTTTGTCCTCGCAGCGAGCTGCAAACGTCGTGCGGGCGCTGGAGCTGTTCGTGAAGCCGGAGCAGCTGGGGGGGGACAACGCCTACAGGTGTAGCATGTGAGTGTGGGGGGCTGCAGGCAGGATGGGGCCCACGGGTGTGATGGTGGGAAGGCTGCCACGATATGGGAGGGCTTCTGCACCTGCTAAACTGTGAGGTACAGGACCACAAAAGCCTGTGATGAATCCTGCTGCTCCTCAGCTCCCTCCTCTCATGAGGAGAGCAGACGTGGCCACAGGCAGGTGCCTGGAGCAGTGCCTGGTATCAGCACGGTCATTCCCGTGGGGTTTGCCATTCCCATGGCCAGGGCAGGCAGTTGTCTGGGTGGTGGAACAGCTTGAATAGCTTGAGCTTTTCCTGGGCAGGTGCAGGAAGAAAGTGTTGGCCAGCAAACGTTTCACCATCCACCGAGCCTCCAACGTTCTCACGATCTCACTGAAGCGCTTTGGCAGCTGTGGCTCTTCAGGTGGAAGAAAAATCACCAAGGTGAGTGCTCAGCAATCCAGAGCAGGGGCTGTGTCCTGGTCCAAGGGCAGGGCAGGAGGTATAGGTATAGGCCTGCAGCCATTCCCCACTGCATGGGGGAAGTTGGGCTCATCCTGGCATCTTCCTCACCACGATCTCTGCCTGGGGAGAGTGTGTCCCCTCCCTCGAGAGACAAGACTTGTAGGACAGCAGAGCCAGTCTTGATCTGGCAAGA